GATGATGATGATGATGATGATGATGATGATGATGATGATGATGATGATGATGATGATGATGATGATGATGATGATGGGGGAATCATAGTCACGATGTGTCAAAGACGACCCAAGCATCTTGGGCATGGAAATTCCCTGGTCCAAAACACTGGTGCCAATCATGTTCCAGTCGCTCGAGTTTCAGTGGTTCACCTTGGCAACTGTCAGGTTCCTAGGGCTCACAACCTGGTCTTTCTGGCATCGTACATTCTGTGGAAAAGGACGTTTCGCTTCAAACTGAGCCAGTTTCATGCTGTCCTGTGCTGCACGGTTTCCGTGTTTTCTTCCCGGAACAAACAACAAGAGCTGTTGTGGTGACCCTGCCTCAATGAGCTTCCCTTAAACGCTTGTATGTGCTCTCTCGGACAAACAACCCAAGCTTCAATGTATCCACTTTGGATCTATGAGTCCAACATGCACGCGCCCTGCCCTTGCACGGGGTCAAACTCTGATGTACCAAGACCAAAACAAGTATACAATTATACGTATGGTCTTGGTCAGAAACCACGTCATCCAAGCTTGGAGCTGGCGGCTCAACAAAGCTTGCCTCTGTGGCCAGAACCCCTAAGAATGCTCCTCCGGATACATGCCGGAAGTTTGGATACCAGAGTGGTCCCAAAGTACTAGGTTAATTACTACGAATTCATCCCAAAGACCAAAACTGCCCACAGGGCATGCCCCTCCACACCGGCTCATTGCTGTCAGGCATCATGATCCTTGAATAGCTCCCATCCCGTGACGTTGCTGTATATGTCGAAGGAGTCACATTCTCGGTGCACTCATCGCGGGTGGACATGGAAATGCAAGGAAGACATCGGCAACTTTCAAGGAACAAGGACGCTACTAGGAGCAAAGGGCATCGCTACTAGGAGCAAGGACGCTACTAGGGGCTCGTGGCCTTACTAGTCTGAGTCTTAGGGCTCAATTGAAGATGACTGGCAATTTTCCCTCGAATAAAGCATGTTTGGAGATTGATCAAAAGGAGCTCTACCGAACTGTGCAAGAGTGTCGCCAGGTTGTCTCACAGGTCATATCGTCAGTATCAAATGTCATGCTACAAAGAAGGCATATCAAATGTTCGCGAGGGCATGCTCTGCACGCGTGTCCCTACTCAGGTTCTGACGGAAAATTCCGGCCTGGCCAGCAAACCATGAAGTCTATCAGAAAGAATACCCACTTAAGTCAGAGTAGCTTTAGAAAGATCGATATAGTCCACATGACATAGTATAAGCCCCGGCAAATACTCTTACCAAAAATGACACCTGCAAAGGGGTTCTGGGATTCTGGCTAGTCTTCCCGTGTGGGGTTATCAAAACCTGAAAGACCCCAATCACCTTGTAGTCAACAGTCCAACATACATCAACATACCCATGAGTAGGCCAGCAATGAGGTTACCTTTCAATGGGGTCTAGAATTTATTGTATGTGTATCACAAATTCTATCAGAGTACAGTAAAGTCTTGCATAGTCTTGCTTGCTATGTCTTGCTACATCCTCCTGGGCAAGCCAATGTGGGAGATCGTCACGTATCATCACCATAGCCATAAACCCTTGCATAGTGGAAGTTGACGGAATTTGCAAGTATACTAAGGGCATAGAAGCTACAAGTAACAAAGGGCATCGCTACTAGGAGCAAGGACGCTACTAGTAGCTCCTGGCATTGCTACTAGTAACAAGAAGCTACTAGTAACTAGTATCATCAAGATTCATCAAGCATCGCTCAAAGACCACGTTCCACGGCGCTTGATCATGTCTGGCTTTCGGGTCCCGCCACGTTTGGGGACGTTCAGTTTCATTTCCCATGTCCAACAAAATGTCCAGGCCTTCAGTCTCCACTGTGCTGCCAGCAAATGCGGCTCGTATGTAGCGGGAGTGACTAATGCTACGCCTCAGGCTACAGGATTTCCAAGACTGTACACTCAGGGATACTATGGGATATTCAAAAGCTTGCTCGGGTTTCCAAGAAGCAGGTAGTCGTGAGCTTTGCCCTGCATCCGGGATAGCTTATGAAAGGTCTTGCTTGTGTGTGCGCTGCAGCACTATGGGCACTGCTACAGTTCTGGGCTATTTGCCGCGTCACGTCGTAGAAAGCAAGAACCACAGGACTGACCCGTTGGTTGAGTTTGAGGATGGAGAACATGATGATTGATGGCTGGGTCCAAATATTTGTGCAGCATGCAGTTTCAGGGCAGCAGGGAACATGTAAATCAGCTTGCCCAAACACCAGCGGTCTCCCGGAGAAACTCAGGTCTCCGCAATGAATCGTTGGGTATCCCTGAGGCGGAGGGCAATCCGTCAAATCGAGGACTGCTAGGCTGGCGGGAAAACATGATGGAGCACAGTAATTGCAAGAACTCAGAAAAGGATGGATTACTTTTGAATTACAGAAGCGCCTATCATAAATGTTGACTGTCAAGCATTCCTGAAACAGCCTAAGGCCTAAGACGCTTCAGATGAGTCCTAGTCTGCCCGGACAAGTCGCGTAATGACGACGAAGGAGTATCAGCAAAACTTTACGATGCCCTTTCCACTGGTGTACTGTATTTATTGTGTTGGTGCAGGGAACTGGCTTGAAAAAGACAGGTCTACAGCCGATAGACAGACTGGTACTTTTGGAACAGAAAATGTAGTTATAAAGTTCAGGAAAGATCAAAGAAGAGTTAAATGCTGCAATAACAAGTCTTCCTCCTCACTGATTCTGTCAATGCAAGACTCCTCTAGCTGCCACGTCTGGGCTGAAAAGGTCAAAGAAATGCCATGGGATGCCAAAACAAAAATCGTATTACAACGAGTATAAACATCTACCTTCCAACAAACCTTCTTATGGTCGGGTCCGGCTAAAGCTTTTGGCACCCAGGCTTTGCCGACCGCAGAAGCGCTTTGTAGAGCCACTGACAGTACGAGGCACCTCAGGGAGACTTGAACTTTTGGAACGAGGTCTGTAAACATTAAACTGCCAAAGAGTGTGGGAAGAATGACCCTCTTTGCTTTGCAACACATTTTTTGCTTGACAGAGGATCACCTGTTCCACCTTGATCGCTTTTGGTATGGGTGGACAAAGACTAAAGACCACAAAGAAGATTCCCACAATGGAGTTGGCTGCAACGAGGGCTTGAATGATCCCAACTCCAGCTTTGGCCATCCAAATGGTTTAAGCTTTTCCGTCAAAAGCGATGCATGCTAGGAATAGAAGCACTTAGAGCTCCACATCACATTTGGGCCTGCAAGCTACTAGTAACAGTACACCAACACCTGAACAAAATGAGGAACCCCCCCCCAAATAGGGTCCTGTTGCTCATGTTGCTCCGTGTTTGTCGGGTCACCTGGTCAATGGACAGTCCCATCATCTGTCCCCGCCTGAGAAGACAGGTGCTTTTCAACCGTGACATGCCTACCCTGACAGCTGGCCTTCTGAGCTGTAAAGGGTCTGCGGATGGAACGAACGACTCCGCAGAACGACTGACCCAAACGCTGGTGGTCACACGTCCCCGTCGCTGATGGTCTCACCGCGGGTGGTCGGTGTTGTTTCCATTCAGATAGAACAATCAACGTTGATGGCCTCACAATGGAACGAAAAGGAACACCAGCAGTATGCGAACATGTACCATCAATGTGACCTTAAGTCTTTCGCGAGTTTAGAACTTCAAACTCCATCGAGTCTCAAACGCTACCAGCGTTTGACCTCCCGTGTACTGCTCTAGGGGGGGCAACTTCCCCCACCGAGTTTCATAGTCGCCGTCCCACATGTTTGTGTCTTCCTCACCCACTTTCGCATCGTTTCCGGCGCTGAAACAGTCGACCACTAGTCGTGGTACCAAGGTCTCGCACTCGCGTACCTCTCGCACCAGGTGGTTGACCTGGCACCGAAAACGCCATGTGAAAGATCTCGAGATCTGTGATCAATGGCATTGGTAATGTTCTGACTCCGACTCCTTTCAGTATTCCGATTTTGCCCTGTGGTAAACCCCTGTGCATTCTCGTTTGTGCCTTCTGGTTTCGATAATTTTGCACAATGGCAGGCAGTCATATGTCACAAATGTCCATCCTCTGTGCTTCCTTTGTGGAGCCTGCCTGCAGCCTTTGAAAGCACTCAAGGCCTATGCAAAGCATTAACTTCTCATTAACTTCAATAGTCCTCAAAAAGGTTCAAAGCGAATCTCATTCATCGACGAACCCGTGCCTTATCTGTAAACCAATTGCTCATGGCTGCTTAGAGTGTGATTCTAATGCGCGCTGCCACAAATGTTTGTGTGGTGCTGTGGTCTTGACCTCGTCTACAGTTTCACAAGCGATGAAACATCCATACAGTACAGTGCCGTTGCTCGTCTCTACCAATTGCGGTTGAGGAACAAATCATCTTGTTGACTTGTTGACTAAGCTGGGCAAAAGGTCATTAGGACAAACATTGTTATGTCATGTTATGTCATGCTTTGCATGCTCCCTCCGTTGCAGGAAGTTCAGCAGGCTTGACCAACAAATGCCATATGTGCAAGGCACAACACGTGCGCGTGTCTGCCATGTACTCCACTTGCATCAACTTGCATCCCTTCAGGTCTGTCCGAAACTCTGGACCTTCAGTTTCAACATGTAGTTACAGTAGACTAACTGGATCTCACTGAAAATTCCAACTCAACTTGTAGATACGTTCGGATCCTTGCCGAAATTACGTTCATCAACGGCTTGCGTTGAATGTGATGATACAAGACGCGGCACAATCAAATCATTGGATTCAATTGAAAAGACAGATTTGGAGGTCAAACAAAGCGCCCTTGGAATTCATCCACAGCACATTTTAAGCCATCAGCACTCTGGCGGTACAGCGCCGCTGTATCGATGCGACACATCATGCCCAAGCGCCAAACCGAGCCACTCCAAATGAAAAGTCGATCAAAGGGCCATGTCACTCAGCCTCAATCAGATTAAAACCTCTTTGCCAGTGGCCAGTGAGTGGCCCCATGACAGCTCCTAACATTTCTTCACCATGATAGCTCCAGATTTCAACAGCTTCACTGCCACGCAGGGAATGATCCTGAAAGATCCACCAGGGGGATCTTCTGCTGCTCTGCAAAGCCTCTGCGTCCTTGGGGCGCACACATATTCAATTGGAGGTACGTATATATATATAATACTACCATTAAAGTATATGTTTGCGAATCAATTGGAAGATTAAGGTTTTATGTTGCAAGTCTCTGAGTACATCGCAAGACCATCTATGCAATCTAAGGAGCAGTTCGAAATCGGCCTGTCCTGTGTGTCACGCCCGGTATGTAGCCAGTGATGCACGTGAGCTGCGTGGCCGCCATACAAAGGTCCGACCCCTTGCAGTTGAGATGAGTGTCTTAAGTGTGAGACTTGCAGGACATTGACATGAAAGCATGGAGTGGGGGAGTTGCAGGGTGAAGCGCAGTGCCCCGCAATATGACCTCTAAGGAAAAAACTCCTGACTACCTTCCTTACGTTCCTCTCATTTTGTCATGAACTGACTCAGCTACAGACATTCTGAGGCAGTCGGTGCAGAAGCTGCTGGACCTGGCATCATGCTGACACTACCATGATGCCCTCGATCTTTTGCTTTTTTGTAAAAAACACAGGTTGCCAACTGTTAGGGTACGTACCTCTATTCCACATCTCCACTACGGACATTCTGTGGAATTTGGCGCCCTGCAACTACCATGTACTTCTGCCAATACTGAGGAAACTCTTCGGGTCCTGACACTGGTCCAAATGAATCAATACGTACCTCCGGACACAACTGACTTTGGCTTTGATTTCAGTCCTGAAGCACGCAGCATGCCAGGAGCCCCTAGTAGCATCCTTGTTCCTAGTAGAGGCCAGGAGCCCCTAGTAGCTTCTTGTTACTATCTTTTTTGACTTTGGCCAGGTTGAAAGACCGCCACAAATGCACTGTGACAAACCGCACAAGGAGCCTTGAACTCATTGATGGCCAACTCAAGCTTTACACGTGCACGAAGTGGTCCTGGAAGGTGAGAGAGAAAATGGTTCCAAAATGGCAATGGCCGTCCCTGCTCATATATAACTTCGATATATATATATACATACGTGAATTCTTGAGGTACCAGCAATTGATACTTGATATACTACCACAAGGACAAATTCTGTGTCATTGTGTCACACAAACTCTATCTGCCCCAGTTTTGCAGGACTAGTGGTTAGAGACCAGCCAAGCCCAAAAAATACAGGAATCAAAGAACAAGCTCCGCAGCAAAATGCATTTGCCTTTTCCTGCAAACTGTGCAACTAAGTCAAGCAGTGAAAGAAAGTTCAAGAGGCTTTGAACGTCTTTCTTTCTTGAGCAATTGCTTGCAAGAAAATGCCAGCTCCAATTTGGCATGGTTGATACGCCTGTGTTCATGTCGTTGGAGTGTCCAACCTGTCCACCGTTCCTGATCTGCAAGGAAAACTTCTAATGCATGGCACCGGCTGGGCCGGGTGCAACACATGTCAATGAAAAAATCTTCCTCTAGGAGTACGCTGCCCATTGGGACATACATGCCACCTTTGTATGAATAAGGCATCATCATCCTCGTCCTTCATGTAGTTGACCCAAATCATGTAGTCCTCATGCCTAAATGATTATAGAATATGAACATCCCGGTCCCTTATCTCTTGGGGCTCGGAGAATCCATCATCGGTGAAATTGCAAGCTACAATGCCCAAATGCTCCCGGCATACCATTAGGCCTTCCGCGTGTGTTGACAAATGCAAAAAACGTTGCGGCAACAACAGGATTCATCCCTCAGCTGTGTGACGGCTGCATCTGTGATCTTGTATAGGTTGACAGAGGCATAGATGTGGCCTCCCCGTCCGGCCCTCTCCGTGTGTGCGACCAGCCACTCATCGTGTGCATGCATTGAGAAATCATTGCGGTCGCCGGACTGACACCATGCATCACATTAAAGCCTGCCACGGACAATACCCAAAGCAGCATCAATGATGAGAATTTCAAGGTCCCTCGGGGTCATCCAAACTGCAGTATCGAGCCATTTTTGCGACTCGGACAGTACAACGAATCCAGTATGCACACTCAAGTCTTCCCCAATGCGTTCTGCTATGCAAAAAGGTTGACTCCCAGCCAACCTCTCTGAATAGACTGGCGTTGGGGACATGCCTCGAAACGTCTGCCATGCTTGAGGCTTGGTCCTGTTGGGTCCCTGACAAAGTTGTCTGCCCAAAGTTCAAATCCGCCCTCTTTCAGTCGGACCCTAGCCGCACCCTGCAAACTGAAATTGCACATGGTGGTTGAGGTGACTATGGAGTGGTTGCCATAGCGCGATGTGCTGGAGGATTTGAAGACGTGGCCATGTTGCATCGACACAACAAGGATCTTACCATTTACCTCGAGGAGCAACTGTTCCAGGCGGAGGGACTCAATCACTTTCACTCACTAACGCCGTGCGCGGAAATTTTACAGAAGCTGAAGATCTTTGCCACAGCCGGAGCAACACGGCCACATCGTTCATGGATGGCCAGTCGCACATGGCTTAGAGTGGAAAAGCTACCTGTTGATAGGTTTACTGAAGTTGGAACGGTCCACTCAGGATATTTATGGTATATAAAGGATTGATAGAGTAAACAGTTGCTTCTATTGTGCAGGGATGGTTGCTAATCCTACTTGGATAAAAGCCAAGTAGGCCATACATTGTATTGGCATGTACTGGCTTAGGAACCTGATGGCAGGTCTCTGCAAACCAGTTCGGAAAAACACGGAAAGCGGAGCAGCTGCATTTTATTGCTGGGTAGTCGGACCTCTTTTTTTCATGGCTTTAACGGTGTTGTACGTACACTACGCAGAAGACCACCTGCCCAAGTCGAACGGCAGAGAAAACAAGTATATAACCTTACACTTGTCGGACCTAAGTCTGTCGGGTTTTTACGATGTTATACGCACATGACGCAAAAAGACTACCTGCCCAAGTCAAACGGCAGAGAAAAACAGCCAAGTCGACGAACATCGCCGCAAAAAAGTAAAATAACAGCAGCAAAGCCTTCAACATAGATCCCACAGCCCCAATCACTTCCAACATACCTCCACGAGAAGCCCCAACAGAGCCCCAACATTGGGCGAAACGTGCCAACATGGAGAAGGATATGCCCTAAGAATGCACCAAGATCGCCGAAGATTGGTGCAAACATGCCCCAAATTTGACTGCCCATTGGAGCAAGCTTTCGTAAGCAACAAAAACGACAAAACTGTCAAAGCCACCTTTCTTACACTTGTCGGACCTCATTTTCATGGATTTATGGCGTTTTACGCACAGCACGCAAAAAACCACCTGCCAAGTCAAACAGGGCAGAGAAAAAGCAGCCAAGTGGACCAACATGGCCGCAAAACATAACAGCAGCAAAGCCTTCAACATAGCCCTGATCTAGACCCCACGGCCCCAATCACTTCCAACATACCTCCACGAGAAGCCTCAAGAGAGCCCCAACATTGGGTGAAATGTGCCAATATGGAAAAGGGTATGTCCCAAGAATGCACCAAGATCGCCGAAGATTGGCGCAACATGCCTCAAATTTGACCACCCACTGGAGCAAGCTTGCATAAGCAACAATAACGACCAAAAATTGTCAAAACCACCTTTCTTACACTTGCCGGACCTCATTTTTCATGGTCTATAATTCTATATATAGTGCTTTACACACACTACGCAAAAGACCACCTGCCCAAGTCAAACGGCAGAGACAAAGCAGCCAAGCGGACCAACATGGCTGCAAAACAAGTAACAGAACAGCAGCAAAGCCTTCAACATAGCCCTGATCTAGACCCCACAGCCCCAATCACTTCCAACATACCTCCACGAGAAGCCTCAAGACAGCCCCAGCATTGGGCGAAACAAGTAACATAACAGCAGCAAAGCCTTCAACATAGCCCTGATCTAGACCCCACGGCCCCAATCACTTCCAACATACCTCCACGAGAAGCCTCAAGAGAGCCCCAACATTGGGTGGAGTGCTCCAATATGGAAAAGGATATGTCCCAAGAATGCACCAAGATCCCCGAAGATTTTCAAAACCACCTTTCTTACACTTGTTGGACCGCATTTTTCATTTTTGTGTTTCACACGGACTACGCAAAAAACCACCCGCCCAAGTCAAACTGCAGACAAGTGGACCAAAACAGCAGCAAAGCCTTCAACATAGCCCTGATCTAGACCCCACGGCCCCAATCACTTCCAACATACCTCCACGAGAAGCCGCAAGAGAGCCCCAACAT